TCTCCCTCTCCCACTCCCCCTGCTTGTGTTCCCTCTCTCGCTGTCTCTCTCTGTGAAATAAATAAATAAAGTCTTAAAAAAAAAAAAAAAGACTTTGAGGCCCTGAGAGGGACCCCTTAGGTCAAATCTTGAGGCAAATAAGAAAGTGGGAAAAGGAGCTGGGGGTAAAAGGGAAGAAAGATGAGGATTAAGAAGAGGTGACTCACATCAGCGAGAAGCCCTAGACTCCCTCCCTCCTGCCCTCCCCTTGACAGTGGATCATGCCTTGGGGCCATGCCCAAACTGGGTGGGGGTGGACTGGGAGGGCATGTCCCTGGGGACCCATGGACCTCACATAGCAGGGAACTTGTCTGTCCTGGAGGAGAAGGGTAAGCTGGAGGCTGGATCTAGACATGTCATCATCACCACTGTCCATCACCATCCTCGTCATTAGTGTACCAGAAACTGTGGAACATTTTCCTTATGTTGTCATTACATGCTCAAAATGGCTGTGCAAGCTAAATATTATTATCCTACCACCAGAGATGAAGAAATGGAAGCTGAAAAAGTTAAGCCACTTCCCCAAGGTCCGTAACCCAGCAAGTATTAGGACCAGAATTCAAACCCAAATCTTCACGTCTCCAAGACCGTCAACCACTATCATATCCTGACCGGAATGCATGTAAGATGGAAAGGTTTTCAGATCTAGGATACTGAGGAGTTCTCTTTCTGTGCAATTTACGTACTTAAGGTTTGTTGAGAGGAGTTAAATGGTATTTTCCAACAAGCAGACTTCTCGGATTGACCCGGGGCAAGAGAGTTTATTTAGGCCTTTGTGTATTTATGCCTTCATGTGGTAGCTCAACAGCAATGTAAAGAATGCCTAATATGTTCAGGCCCTGTGCTAGAGCTTTCTCTGTTTTTCACATAGTCTCAGGAATTCTGGAGAAAGGGAATTTGCTGCCTGGAATATTAAACATACAAGTTTTATTAAACTATACATTTCATAAAACCAAGTCCTGGGAAATTCATGCAATAAATGCATTGATTCAGGTGTTACCTATGTGTGCAGAGGAACAGCTAGGCAGAAATAAACCTTGGTAAAGCAAACTGCTCTCCAAGGAGTACAACTGGCTTGATTTGGAACACTCTGGGCACCATAATTGCTTCACTTTTCAGGTAAGGTTTGTAAAAGGACCTCTAGGAAGTAAAGACATTTCTTCATGAAGACATGCTTATTGAGACTCAGTTAACACAATGCTGCCTGTGTTAATTTAGGCTTACTTGTATAAAACAGTCCCTTAAAGATGCACAGTGGGGTTCATGTACTTGTGGTTCCTTTTCCTAAAGACACACGGGAGAGCACTTAGCCTGGGCATATAGCCTACTTTCTGCTCTGCTTTGGCCTGTGTCATCCTAGTTCTTTCTTGATCCAGACTGGTCTGTGCAGGGGATGTAGCTCTTTTTTTTTTTTTTTTTTTCCAGGGCCCTGGTTCAGTTGAACAGAAAATTCCCAGCCTTGGTTTAAGGTAGATGAGAGGGATTACAAGAACACACGAGAGTCAGAAAAACCCAGATTTATTGAAGGCCCCTGCCACTTACTAGCTGTAAATATTTAAAATTCTCTTAAGTCCTTACCATTGATCTAGAACAGCAGAACTTCCAGAGAAGTTGGCTCTCTCTAGTATGTTCTAGGAGTGCCTATCATCAGTTTAATGGCTAGCTCAACAGGAACACCTTCTCATTCTCTGTATGTGGTGTATGGCTCAGCAGTTCACCTTGGTGTGTCTTTGCCTTGAATGGGTTCCCAGCCTTCTCCTGGCCTATCATCCCAATCCCTAGCACCTGTGAACATCACCTTACATGGCAGAAGGGACTTTGCAGGTATGATTAAGTTAAGAATCTTGTATAAAGGGATCATCCTAAATTATTGAAGCAGCATCACTGTAATTAGAAGTCTCCTTATACATGACAGAGGGAGGCAGGAGAATCAGAGAGAAGGAAATGTGACAATGGAGGCAGAGGTCAAAATCATGTGATTACTGGAAGGGGGCCTTGATCCAGAGAATGAAAGCAGCCTCTAGAAGCCAGAAAAGGAAAGGAAGCAGATTCTGTCCTGGAGCTTCCAGAAGAAATGCAGCCCGGTGTCTTAGTTTGGGCTGCTCTAACAAATCACCACTGACAAATCATGTCAGACCATCTTGACATGAACAAGAAATATTGATTTATCTTACCTCGGAGGCTGGAAACCTGGGATTAGAGTGCCCGAGTGATTCGGTGAGAGCCCTCTTCCAGGTTGTAGACAATCCAATTCTTGTAACGGCACATGGCAAAAAGGGAACTAATTAGCTCTGTGACCTCTTCTTGTAATCCCATTCATGAAGG